ATCGGCGAGATCGAACGGCGAGGCCTGGACACCGAGGGTCTGTATCGCATCTCGGGATCACACGAGGAGATCGAACGCCTGCGCATGCTGTTCGACACCGAGGGAAGGGTTGACCTCCGCAAATGCCGGGTCGAGGATGTGCACACGCTGACCGGACTGCTGAAGCTTTACTTTCGCATGCTGCCCATCCCGTTGATTACACACAGCGCCCGGCGTGAGTTCGGCCGCGTCATGAGTACCACATTCAGCCGCGAACGCGAGCGGCTCAGGCGTTTCCGCAAGGTGATGGATACCGTGTTGCCTCCCGCTCATTATAACACCACCAGACGTTTCATCCTGCACCTCTCGAACGTCGCCAAACGCAGTTTCTGTAATAAGATGACCGAAGAGAACTTGGCTAGGATCCTGGTGATGACGGTGATGAGTCACCCGATTCATGAGTCCGAGTTTTTGATCCTTCCCCAGCAGGATCTGTTCATCCTTCACTACCTGATTGACAACGCCAAAAAACTTTTCCCTGAATCTTGACCCTTCGCTTATTCGTCGAAAGAAAGCGGTGGTGTTCAGTTGTTACGGTGCTGGATAATCTCACGGAATCTGTCTAATAAAACATATAAAGCATATCCTGTGTAAAGTGATGAAATAAATGCACTTTAGCTTCACACCTGTTTCCTGCCTCTTCAACACCTCGTATGGTTGTTGTTTTTTCTTGGTCTTATTGTTGTACAGTATGTACCTGTGGCTCTCGGCGGCCGTTTCAAGCATGAGACCAGTTTGTTATTGGCTTGTACTTAGTTCTTAGACGCGTTACTGCCGTTAGTAAAATTTTCACCTAAGTACACCATTTGTTCTGTGATTTTTAGTGCCATTGTGCGTTTTACTTTGTGAACTGTTATTACAATGACATGACTCGTAGATGCGTGATTTGTTTTCATTAAGAAGTACTGACTTGCATTCCTGACGCCCCTGCAGTCGACGACAGATCGAGCGAAAGATTCTTTGTCTATCTTTGACCATTAACTCAAACGGATTTAAATAATTTTTTAAAAATATATTGATATCCTTAAGTTCTACTTTATTCACAGATGAACGTCCAGTCCCATTGGCGCATACAGCTAGCGATAGACAGTAAAAGTTCACGTAGATTTATGGAATGGAGAGTTTTCCCGAACAACAGCTTTTGACCGACGAAGATGTCTGTTATATCAGCTGGATGGAAGGATATTGTCACTACCGGATCCGATAGAAAATTGAAATTCATCATTCTTGTTAATTCCTAGCACAGGCATGACGAAAGTCTTTCACCACGTTGTGCAGTGTTTGATAAGATGATGAGTC